ATGACTACCCAAGAGTCCAAAACATACAGTTTCTCTGTATGTCCAAAGAATAATGTGGGTTTTTGTACCCAAAGAAAAAAGGGGATCTGAAACAACCAGCTCCTTTGAAATGTCACATATTCACAGAAGGAGGTGTTTGTGAAGAGAACATCACTTCTCTAATACATGCCCAGTTTAGTTTCACCTGTTTCCATGTGCTCCCTTCCCAATTCCTACAACCTGCTTGCACATCCTGTTTCACTATGAGCACGAGCTTCTCCCCCAGAGCAGTGCCGCCTTCACTTCTCCTCACAGAGTGAGCTGAAGTAACAGTCAAACTGGGAGCAAAAAAACAGACAAGTTTCCCCTTGTTTGTCCAAGCTGCAAACATGACTGAGGTGCTGGGACAGCTCTTTCAACAAAGGGTACCACCTACCAACAGTCCTCTGATGAGAAGATGGAAGAGTGGCCTCTGAAAGAGCAGTGACTGGAAAAGCATGACAAGGCAGAGCAGGTCTTCCAGCAGGAGGGAGGACAAGGAAAAGGATGCCCAGAACATATTAGAGGAAACCCCAGATTTCAGAGATGGGGGGGCAGGAGGATAGAGATACTGGCAGCACGCAGAGGTCTGAGGAGAGATGAGGACAACCACGAGTGCTTATCAGAGGAAGTCAAGCAGAAACTGGAAAGTGTGGAGGAGCCAACTCCAGTGAGGAGTGGTCTGAAACCACTCTCCAACAGCAAAGGAAACTGACAGAAGGAGAAGAGACAGAAGGAAGACACATTTCACACAAATAAACACGACAGCTTAAACACTGCCCACTGTCACCTCCAAGGTCTGCAGAAGACTCATGACTACATTTACCCACCCAACACGGAGCACCTCAACCTGACACGAGGTGAGCTGGACCCCCACTGCAGGAGGCTCCGTCAGCTCTCTTTCACAGAAAGCCGAGCTCTGACTCTGGCACTGTGTCAAGTCTCAGGGAATAACAGCTTCCAGCAAGCTTTGTAACATCTGTCTCCAGACTCCCCCAGCAGCCATGAAGGGAGCAGAAGTGCAGGCCATGAAGCAGCTCCCCGGCATCCCCATGGCACCCCGGAACTGCTCCTCTCACCCAATACATCTTTTCCTTTACAGACCTCTTCTTTTAGCACTTCTCAAGTTGTTAAAAACTTACTTCTTTATTTATGAGCTACAGCTTCTTATTTTAAACATCCACGTTAAGCTTGCCCCTCCCAAAATACCATTTGTTATAAATTATAATACACCCATGAAATCTTGCCACGCTGGCAGCCAATGACGCTGTGTGCACATCACAGCTACAGATCTGGAAAAACAAAACATTCTCTAATGGAACCTCAAAGGGAGAACAGAAACAGAGGGATCACCCGAAGCTCCCAAACCCAAGGCCACCATCTATCCATGCACCCTTGGAAAGAGCAGCATCACTGCCCAAGGACACCGTAGGGGCTGTGCCATCAGTAGGGGTCCCTGAATACCCATCGGTATTCTGACCCTGGCACATGGGGAGAGTGCTTTACAGGGGCACTCAGGATGCTGTGAGGAGCCATCAGCATTGTTCGACTGAGTTCCAAACATCACAACCTGCTCCACACCTGGGGTTTTGCTGTGCTGTCTTCCCACCCCAAGTGCATTCACTGAGAGTTTTTAAGAAAGAAGGAAAAAAAACAAAGGCCTTGGACAATTAGCAGGCCTTCTGATTTAGCTGTTAAAAAAACCCGACATCGTTTCCCTCTTGTTTTTCTAAATAAAAATAATGTATAGCCCTAACTTGATAATAAATATGCTCAGAAGCTGTCTTTAAGTAAAAGCTTTTGATAACAAATTGCCTATGCTAACTGCTATTTTACTGTTGAATTTTTTATTGTTGCTTAAGCACTGCAATTATGCTAATAAGCCTGCGAGGATGGTACACTAAAGCATTGAATGTGACAGATATAATACTCAATAAAATGTTAATCTTACCTGAAAATTGGAATCAAACAGCCTTATTAGTATTTATGGATATGGCATCTTTAACATGTTTCTTAAGAGGAATATATATATGCAATGGATATTTTCAAATATACCTTGCTATTTCTCGTGCCTCCATGCGATTTAATTCAGGGTGCCTATTACCCCTGCTGCTAACTTCCAGTCCCTTTTGGATCAGGAAAAAAGCATTCTCGTGTTTGAGCTACACTGAACTTCTGCACTGCTGAATGGTTTTGCCCTCCAAACCTACAGGTGAGATGGTCTCTGACCTGACCGTGAGCTTCATGCTGTGCCTTCACTTGCTCACCCATGAAAGAAGTCAAAAACAACCTCAATATATTCACGTGCTTCTGACATAAGCTGTATTTACATCCATGATCTGGCTGCATCAACAGATCATTCTTACACAGTACACTGGTGTGGCTCTCAGACACTGCAGGCTAATGCTTAAATAACAGCCTGCTGTCTTGCAGCCTCCCTGCCTCTACTGCTCTCACCTAAAGAAGTTAATTCTGCTGACAGGACTGCAGAAACGTCAATAAGACACCATTACTTCTCCTGACAGACAATCGAGGTTCTTGCTGCTGGATGCTGCGAGCCTCCTCTGTGGAAAACACGAGGCAGGAGCCATCCAGGAACTGCTTCGATGAATATCGACAGTGGGGAAAACCCAAGCAGCTGCCCACCGAAACAAGACATTTCCAAAGCACACAAAAAAATCACATGAGCTGCCCACACTCCTGGCACAAAACACACAGGGACTTTCTTGAGCATCGCCTGCAATGCACAGCAGCTTGCTCTCAGGTCAGGATGTCCCTTCTTATGTTTATGGAAGGAAAGAGGACTGCTTTGGAGGATAGGTCAGGGCAGTTCCACAAGACCTCATTTGCAGATGCAGGCACGGAGCAAGGCATTAGAAAAAAACTATTCTCAGTTGCAAAATCATTCGAATAAAACTACAGAATTGACTGAGCTTGCACCTTGGAGAGCTGTGAAGTGCACCTCGGGGCTCCTCTGCCCCAGGTTTGCCCCAGCATGAAGTGCCAGGCTCCAGATCTTCAGGTCGAGCCGGCAAGTCAAGCACTGCACCGCTGCTGTGTGCTGCAAGGCAACCCATAGAGACAGCAGGGCTCAGCTCTGAGTGTGGTCATTATTTTCAACCCTCAGGGGAAATGCAAATTCAACTTGGGCATATTGTTTTCTTTTGCTAAGCAGCAATGCTTGAATGTTAACTCCAATCCTGACAGGCATATGTATACTCTTTGCAAATAATCTCACCCTGACCAGTCCAAAAGGTCAAAATCAAAAAATAATACGAAAAAAAGACAAGCGTGGAAAACTGTCAGCACCATTGGCACAACCCCTCAACCAACTAACCATCTTCACCACAAGGTGAACTGCAAGCTCTTGGATTTATTTGATTGATTGAGATCAAAAGATCGGAGGGCACAGAGGAAATTGCATCCTTCTATGCATGCACGCTGCTTTCAAGATTTGAGCAGATAGTTGCAGCAATTTTAAAATCAAAGAGAAAAAAAAAACATTTAAAGGTGATTTCAGAAAGGCATCCCCTTATTTCTCTCTTGACACCTATGCACTTTTTAGAGCTATCTGAATGGTTCCTCCAAGTTCCTGCAGCCCTGGGACCCAACAGCTTATCTCTGCTAAACAGAAGATGCTAACAAACAATAAGAACTCACATAACTCCAGAGGAGACATCACTATTTGCTGACATTAAGGATGAAAGCAAATTTAGAGAAACTAAACAAATCCCAAATGAAGTCCAACAGGAGGCTTAAGAATTCCCTACTGCTATTCGGGTGTCCTCAGACACAGGACACACATCTCACTACACTTCTTGGCTGCACAAGGAAGATGAAGCGCCCTCAATTTGCTTCTCTGGCAGTGATCACACAGAGGCACCATGGCTGCCTGGGCCCACGTGAGGTTTGTCACATGCAGCTCCTGGGGGAGCAAGGGAGAATCAAGGGGACTGAGTGAGCAGCCATCCTTAGGACACAATTTCAACACAGAACACAGAAAAAGCCTGCGCTGCATTCACTGTCAAGACAGGACAAAGGAAAACAAGGAAGAACAAAAACAGAAGAAATATTAAATTCTGCCATCCCATCAGCCCTTGAACCAAAGAGAAAAGAAAACATTTGGTTCTCCTGCTTGTGTTTCACATATTGTTTATATTTTGCTCAATTTATCTGAATCTATAGCATTATTCTCTCACATCTTAACTATACAGGTGTGATTACCTGCCTGAGAATAAAAGGAAAACCCCTAATATGGATTACAGAAGAGACCCGAACTTTCAAGAGCTTGCTACAAAGTAACAAGAATTGGTACAACCTCCTGGTTCTGTCACGAGTTTAGGTTACACGCCAAAACCGAGGGCTGAACTCCTTTTCCACATGATTGCACTTCACTCCAGAAGGAGGACATCACCTTTCAGGTAACAAAGATTATCACCATAGATTTGAAGCTCATCACCAGACCAGGCAGTTCCTTCTGCACAGGTACACCGAGTTTTTCTTTTTACCTTATCAGTTTTGAATAACATCGTTAAGATAAGAATTTCACCTTCTCTGATTTCTAACCTTCAGCAGGCTGCAAGGACTTTCCAGAAGTCATCCCGCCTGTTGCCCCACTATTTGAAAGGATCAGTTCTCCTAGAGAACATCCAATGAGGCTTTTTTAACTGATTCTAAAACCTTTCCAACAAACAACTGAAACTCCACAAGCTCCTCAGGCAGTCCATCCAGTGCTCACCTCTTCTCAATGCAAGAGATCATCTACTAACATCTCATCTAAATTTCTCTTGCTGCAACTTAAGCCTGTAATTTGTCTTACTTACAGTGAGCAGATTTACAGTTTGTTCCTTCTCTTCACAAGTTCACTGTTGCCAAAATTCACGAACTGAGGCACCAGTGTGGCTTGCCCTTTCTTTGCCATTTTGCTTTTGCCCAAAGTGTGCTCTTACTCTTGTGTCTCTGCATTGTGTTTCGTTTCTTACCCCAAGAAAACAGGCAGCTAGAATATCACAAGGCTGTTTCAAGAGAAGACACTCACATCCAAAGGCTGATGCAGTCAGGCACACCCAATCATAAGGCACTCTGAAAGAAGAAAAAAAAAAAGATTTCTTTTTAGGACGGTATGCAAAGGGTCCAGAAATAAACCAGCAACCGTCAACCGTCCACTCTTTTATTGAACATTCAAATTAGATCTTCAAAAGCAACATCAATGACTGCAGATACATCGAAACCTTAGGCACGTTTTATCTAGCATCCACCACAAGGATTTGATAGGTCTTCATTCTACCAAACGGGACAACACTGACTTTGCATGAAGTTCTGCCAAGCTACAGGCAGTCGCCAACACACATCAAAATCAGACGGCTCCAACTCCAGCACTTCATTCACTGTGACAGAGGACAAATCTTAATGTCGCCACCGTTGACTTTATTTTCAGTGTCACTGAAACCAACAGGGACAAAGCTACTTTGAGATTTAGTGTGTTTAATTATGGGATAGATCCAGAGGAAAGTAGTCAGATTCAATGAAAGGCTGAATAACTTCTGTGCGCACAACATATGCCCTACCCCCCGGTCTGCAGGATGCTCTGCATAGCAAAAAGAAATTTCTCTCCTGAACGAAAGGGTTTGGTGATAAAGGAGAAAGAAGAAAGAAAGGATTTATATGAGCAGCGTTGGGAAACACAGGGGGAGAGTTCTGAATAGCACAAGTATCCCAAATTTCATGAGATAACAAGCAACAAGGGAGAGCAGTGATAATACATCTGCTTTCCTATTTTGTAAGCAATCAATTTGCCACAACAGCACCTTAGAAAGGATTATTTCTTGTACTCCACCCAGTCACAATCCCTTTCTCCCATTAGTAGGGGATGCTGTTAGCATCCACTTGGCATGGTTTTCTTTCTTTTTTTTTTTTCCTCTTCAGTCCTTCCCAGCTGCCCCGGACTTTTGCTTTCCTTGATCATTTCCCTCTTCCCAATACAGCCCAACTGCTGTCAACACAGCAAAGTGACATGCTCCTATTTAGCATAGACTTGATAACAGAAGTGGTGTTTCCAAGGCTAAAGACAAATACCTGCACCAATAATGTCCCTACATCACACAGTAGCTGAGGAGACCAAGCAATAAATGCCTTGTACTGAAGATGTAGAACTCAAAGAATCTCAGCAATGTAGATGGCCAACTAATGAAGGAGTTCAAACAGAGGCCTATCTTTAACGATGCAAACAGCTTTGAGGATTTCCACAAGACCACCTGTGCTATCAGAGACATTACCTCCCAAAATGCCAGTGAGAGATGGATGTTCAGCAAGGGATATAGATGTGAGGAGTGCTTCCACCAGGAATATGCACCCATTTCTATAGCAGAATTAGAACAGCTGTTGAAAACCATGAAGTAGTATTGAATGGCAGCTCAGGACAGGGAGCCAAGAAGACTACCGCATGCAATTGAAACTGCCAAGGGATTAAGCCAGGTCAAATGTAATTACACAAAACTGGAACTTGGCCAGGGTGCTGGTTTACGAAAATTAAAAGAGGTGTTCAAAAGTTTCAGAGATAGAGTCCTTCTGTTAATTATTTGGTGAGTCAGTTGCTGAAGTCTCAGTACTCTGGGAGGCTCTCTGAAAAAAGGGGAAAAATGAGGCATAAACTTAAAAGGCATTAGGAGTGATTAGCAAGAGCCTTTGTTCTCCATGGCAATGCTTGCTGCACTACTGTGTGAGTGCCTTTCATGTTCATGCTGGAAAGCGGCCTTAGCTCCTTTGATACTTCTGGGAGGAAGCATTTAAGCGTACAAATATCCCAATGTCAGAAGTTCCAGACAACAGTCGAGGAACATCAACATATCCCAGCCAGGTCAGATCCAGCTCTCAGGCAGTGCTTCTGCTCAAGGGAGGAATGCAAACAGAGACATTTAGAAGCTTATTTAGACCCTAAGCAATGTTTACCCTACTTGCTGGCCATGTACGAAGGCCAGGTCATGTGGAAAACAAGGTTGCAACCACGCAGGACAGCGTTCTTCTTACTTTCTTATGGTTTTGGGAAGATGGAGAGAACTTAAGGTGATAAGGAGATAAGAAAAGGTGCTTCATGGCCAGTGTGGTCCTCCACAACGACAAAGAGAAGCTAAAAGAAGGAAGTGGATAGACTCTTTAACAGGGCCTCATGATAGGACAAGGGGAAATGACAAACTAAAAGAGAGGACATTTAGACTGGATATGAGGAAGAAGTTTTTTTTTACTCTAAGGACGACGAGGCACTGACACAGGTTGCCCAGAGGCAGTGGGTGCCCCTTCCCTAAAGGTACCCAAGGTCAGGCTGGACGGGGCTCTGAGCACCTGATGGAGCTGTGGGTATCCCTGTTCAGTGCAGGGAGTTGGACCAGGTGGCCTCTAACTCAAACAATTGTATGCTTCTACGAACAACAGGTAAGAGGAAAGGCACACTATTTTATTTTTTTTTAAGTCAAGATATTTAATGCCTAAATTAAAGTACAAAGAGAACAAATCTAGAAAAGATGAGTATTAACAGTCTCTGATGAACAGTCACAAACTCTGTTCAATTTCTGAGACTTGTACTACAGCCATAAACAAAATATGGTGTTTTCTGGAGGATAAAAATAATAAGAAAGCCTTTTAAGTCTCAGTTTTGGCACCTGATAGTTGTAGCTGCCTCTGCTACCTCTGCATCTGAAATTTATCATTAGAGATACACTCATTACTGTCTCTGAAACAGTTGCATCTGACAGTAAAAGCAATAGGAGATTAACCTTTTTGGGTAGTTTATTTGGTGAACTGTTCAGCTGATGCACATTAAACAAACCGATTTTTAGACTGATGTGAAAATCACGGAAAGATTAAACAGCAATCTTCCCAACAAGTGCACAGTGAGTGACACGGCTTCCTCTGGAAGCGACGGCAGGTGAACACACAGCCGCAGGCTCTGCCATATCAATCTCATGCACTGGTTTTTTTTTTCCTTTTCAGAAAACAAGCCAAGAATAGACAGGTGTTTCACAGCACAGACTGGTGCAACTTGCATCTATGCTTGTTGCCATTAGTGCAAGAAGTGCTCCGTCAGTTGGGACAAGTCATGGAGGGGACAAGGAAAAATAGTTTTTTGCTCACAGCCAAAGGGACAGGAAGACCAGTGTGACAGAGCATGCAGGTACATGTTCTCCGCAGCCAAAGCAGTTAGGAACCAACGCCAATGACAGCCTCCAGTGCCTGACACGAAGCACAGGGAGGTGGAACGGGAAGCACCGATGCCAAGCAGTAATAAGGATGGAATCACAGCTGCTTCTCAAATCAGATTTTTTTTTTGCCTAGGTTACTTGTTATTAAAAGAAATTATAAGTTTCAGCACACAGGGACATCCTGTTTGCTGTATTAAATGAAAGGGATGATTCAAGAGCAACAGCTTTCAGGAGGCAGGGAGGGAGGAATCAATTTCAGGTTGCTACAGACAACTGGGCCTTTTCCTGTCAGAAAAAATCCAATTCAGCTCTACGAACCCACGATGGAACATTCCCTGAAATACAACACTCACACGCTCACTAAATAAATAAATACACTAAAATACACACTCATGTCATCTCCCAAATTTTACCAGCTGAACTAAGGGCACGCTCCAACCTGCTGACTGCAACTCAACAAGCGTGGAGCTTCGGCTCAGCACTATCTTCTCGACTGCAAGTTCAATGCCTATCACTGTCTTACAGGGAGAAAGGTATTTAATGGCAAAGTGGCATCCTGCACAACGAAGCAGAGCAGAGCACGGTGATTTGGGATGCTCTTCCACAGGCTCTAGGCTTACAGTGAGGCCTAAAGGCTGTTAAGTGACCAAATAAATCCATCTCAATCAATCCCTCTGTGAAGAACACAGGAAACAGTTCCATCCTACAGTATTATGAGTCTTAATTTTATGGAGCAGTTGATGTTTTTCCAATGAAAGGTACCATTAAAATATAAGATTTTATTAGCAAAATCAATGATGTGTGCAGAGACAGTCCCTCACGGCTTTAAAAAATGTCTATGAATAATTATAAAACTGATAGCAGTAGAGAACACCATACAATTATTACTGCTGTTTTACAGGATTCTCTAACAGCGACAGCCCACTTCTGGTAAGACACCTTCAGGCAGGACCACAAAAAAGCATAAATAAGGACAAGGCAACAAAGGCTCAGTGTTCTCTCACACTTAGAGGGTGCAAATATGTTGCTTACTTTACGTCTATTGTTGCTGGGTTTTTTATTTTTATTTTTTTTTTTCCCAGCAAGTAGTAAACATTCTGGAAACAAATAAATCTCAGCACTTACAGGAATATTTACCAGTTGCCCACGCATTTCACTTTCTCTACCAATTCCAACATTTTGTTGCATTAGAAAAGCAAGAAGGGGAGATTCATTCCCCTTTAAACCCATCAGAAGTGGAACAAAGAGCCCCCAGTTTCATGGTGATCTTTAAACACAGGGCCAGCACCTGAAAGCCCTACAAGCAAGGCATGTGCTGGGGACAAAAAGCCCGGACACCTTTATCTGCTGCAGGGTTCCCACTCAGATCCAGCATGCCACGCTGCCACCGCTCTCCTGCAGTGAGGACTGGGCACATTGGCAGCACCCCAGTCCTCCAAAGCCTCCTCTCACCCAGCAGCCACCGCCCATATCAGCACCATCATAAAGAGCTCACGCAGTCAAGGCACTGAGGCACTCCAAACTCAACACTCACCGAGCCTTCCTACTTTCCAGCAAGCTCTGGCTAATGCACACAGAGCACTGTTAAGTCAAGAATGTACTTATGTAGATTGGAGCCAAAAAATGACACCAGTCGGTTCGACCCCAAATGTTTTGGCTTTGCACACACAGCTACAGGTTTGCAAGAGCCGGGGGTACAGGCAGAGAAAAAAAACCTCAAGTCTCCTTACTCCACCTGGCTTTAAACCTCCGGATGTGTGTGAGGATGGATGAAGAACGAGTGGCAAGAATACTCAACAGATGTTTTCATTTGCATAAATTTGCCATTCATTCCTCTTTCTTCTACCATCACAAACTCCTCTATTATCCTCGCTGGATAATTTACAG